AGCTTGAAATGCTCCAAATGACATGAATCGAGGTTATCGATGATCTCTGTATATAGATCAAGTGATTTAGAAGAGTAAGAAGTAGAAACCTCTTGGTCATTTCKTTYAGAGGAGTCARAGTYGATMTTWGCCATCCCACAGAAGAGCTCATCCTCTGTGTCCGAGTCTTCCCAAGCAAGGAGACCCTTCTGTTCATCTTCATCTGAGGATTCATCAGTTACTAACTTACTCGATTGAGCTAGTAGAGACTTCTGCTGATAGTAAGGCTACATCTCTAGGACCCCTCTGTGGAGCTTTTGGCCTTTTTGACCAGCAATCTGCAGCAAAGTGGCCTGGCTTGCCACATCTAAAGCATCCTTCCTTCGACTTTTCCTTCTTCTGCTCCTCTACCTTCTGCGAGGGCTTCTGCTCCTTCTCACCTGCATCCGATCTACCTCCCTCTATGAAGTTTCTTCTGTTGAAACTTTTGTATTCCTTCCTCTCACCACCCTTTCTGAATTCTCTGGTGATCGAGGACAGAGATTTCATCATCTCCTTCATCGAGACTTCTTCATCAGAACTTTCGTCACTCTCTGCTATCAGTACCTTCTTCTTCTTCTTCTTCTTCTTCTTCTTCTCCTTCTCTTCCTTTTGTGATCCTTTCCCCTTTCCAGAGCTGCCATCCTCTGTAACTAGAGCAAGTGGACCACCATAGTTCTTTTTCATTTGTAGAACTTGAGGCTCTTGACTTTTAAGAGAGCCAAATAAGTCAGCCAAAGTCCATATTTCCAAATCTAAGGTGGCCTTCATGGACATGGTTAGGTGCATCCATTGAACTCCAAGGCTCTTCAAGAACAGAGAGTTGTTGTCCTCTGCCGTTCTCATTACTCCCTACCTTTTGCAATTGCTAATTAGGGTGTTTAGTCTAGAGTATGTGTCCGACAAGGATTCACCCTCTTTTTCCTTGAAGCTGTGGTATTCGTCAATGCAGATTGCTCGATTGTTCTTGAGTGTTTTCTTACCTCCTTCAATCTGTTTTTCTAATTCTGCCCCAATATCCATGGACAATTGACAGTGATCGATACATTTGAAGATTTCGTGAGGTATTGCCATGATTAACAACCGTTTGCATTTGCTGCTCAAATCAACTAGTATTTTGTCTTCATCACTCCAATTAGCAACAGATCTTGGCTCGTAATGTTCAACAATCTCAGGGGTTGTGCCAGTAGCAGGAACTCTTGGAATTAAGTTCATTGGCACATAAGGAGGATTGTAAAGAAATTCATATATCCTTGGGTGAATTCCTTCCAAAAAATTTATCATTCGCACCTTCTATTGCGGATACTCCTCACGAATAAGCGTGGGAGGTTTTGATTGAGAACCAGTGCTCATGAATGAGGTATTGGCCAGGTTCGCCATTGAAATTAGAAAGAGAAAAATAGGAATAAGATGAAACTATTTTAATCGAGTAAAACAGGGTAAAATGAAGAAGACTGGTGTTCTATAAAATGCAGATTAATACCAAAAACAGAATTAATCGAATGAGAATTCAATTYCTGCTYTGATACCAATTGTTAGGACCTGTAAATTCAGATTTGGTATTTTATCTCTTACTCTGGATGATCGTTAGAACGATTATAGTGCAGCGGAAACAATGATAAGAACACAACAGAGTAATTAATCAAGAACACACAGATTGATATGAAGAAGATGAAGGCAATATAATAGCTTCAAAGGTTTTTCAATTGATTGAAAAATAAGACGATTACAATACGGAAGCACACTGAATTACAAAGGCCTAAGATGCTATTTATACTAGATCCTAACGGCCTTTCTGACATGACCTAGACGTATGAAATCATCCAAGCCGTCCAAATAAAGTCGATTAAAGACCTAGTCACTTGAGAAGCACGTGCAGCTAACAACCTTTGAAAAAACAGCAGAACAGGATCTTCATAGAAGACAAATCCGCAGACCCTCGGTGAGCCATCTCAGAGGCTCTGTTGTAGAAGACTTGTAGGTTCTTATTGCCAGAGGACCATTTTCCAGAACCTCTGTGAGAGACAACAGAGGTTCTGTCATTCTTGACTTGCACGATCAAACAGCTTCTGTTGATGGTCCTCTGTTGTCTTTTATGGAAGATACCCTTCTGTCAACACTTGCATAATACTTTTTCATACTTTTACATTAAGCAAATATTGGAGCTAACAGAGTCCACCTCTGACTCGGAGTCAGAGTCAAGAAAATCCTTGCGTGAATATCGAAGTACAGAGGTATCATTAAGAACTTGAAATTCTCGTGTGCATGAACTAGAGCCTTCATCCATCTTTTGTGTTGAAGAACTTTCAAAAGTATTCGAGGAATTACTCTAGGAAGAATCTGTATGACCTTTAGAAGGATAATTCAAGGCCTCAAGCAAATCTTGCTCGAAAACCTGTCTCACCGTTTCTGTGAAGTCATCCAATAATTTTGGATCCAGAGTTTTAATAAAAAAATTTGTAGATGAACTCTTGATTTCATTTGCATCTGGTTTAATAACATCACCATTTGTTTTTGGATGTTCAAGATTAGTAGAGCCAAAACAAAAAATCTCATCTGCCTTTTGTATGTTTTTTAGATCAACTCGTTGCATACATTTTGAAGAATAAGAGATATTTTTGAATTTTAACCTTTGAGTCTTGTCCCCACTTACAAGCTTACATCTTTTGAAAGGTGAAGGTGTATGCAAATTTGGAAAATCTGGTTTTTTGCTTAGCTCCTAACCTAAACAAAGATTCAAGGGTAGTTTTCTTTTTCCAGGTGAGGTCTAGGTCTGTATAACCTATCCCTGCTCTATCCTGTTGAGAGTTGACTTTTTCATACACCTACTGAGCATCTTGATATTTTTTGATCAAGAGCTCTTTTCTTTGTAAGCTCTGGTGTAAAAATTCACTTTCCTTTTGAAATTAATTTTTTAGGGCTTCAGAGTTTAGTCTGTCACGTTCCTTTTCTAAAAGCTCTTTTTCTTTCTTCTGTATTGCCGCTTTTAGTTCTGTGCACTCTGATTTAAGACTTATTTCAGTGGACGTTTTGTTTGCAAAAGTTTTTCATTTTCCACTGACAATTCTTGTTTTTCTACAGTTAATAGCTCTGTCCCTTGTTCAAAGAATAACTTTTCTTTTTCGAAAGACTTCCTTTTAGATTTTTCGACAGAGAGCTTTTGCTGTAGATTTATGAAATCATTTGTTAACACATAGATGCTTTCTTCTAGGTCAGAATGAGAATAACCAGAGATGGAACATACCTGGGAGTCAGAGTCAGATCCAGACCCTTCTCTGTCGTTCTCAACAGCCATTCCACAGAAATGGGCTTAGTCTTCTTCTTCAGATGAGGAGCCAGAGACCCAGTTCTTCTGTTCATCCATGAGACTCCTTTGGGTTCGATTATATTTGTACTTATTTTTGTAGTACAGCTCAGCTTTCACCATAGGGCCTCTGCACTCTTGGGAGTAGTGCCCCATCTTCCCGCATCTGAAGCATCTGACAGCTTGCTTCTTCTATTCCGACTGCTCTTCCTCCTTCTTATTTGATACAGAAGGAGGGTTCCTTCCTTCGAAAGCTCTGCTTCTGCTACAATCACCTTGTCTTCCTTGTCAAATATATTCTTCCCGAATTTCCTTTGAAATTGCTTGGTAATCAAGGCCAAGGAATGTGCAAAGGCATTGATGTCATCGTCTTCAGAGATTGATGCTCTGTCTTCTTCATCGCTTTCCATGATAAGAGCCTTCTTCCCCTTTCTTCGTTCCTCCTTGGATCTTCTTTCCTTGTGTGGTTGATTGAATCCAATCTCTTTTGAATCAAAGACAAGAGCCAGAGGTCCACCCATAGTGACCTTTGCCTTATGCACTTCCTACTCTGGTGCTTGCAAAGTCCCATACACGTCATGAAGTGTCCATTGCTCCAGATCTTGGTTCGCTTGGAGAGACATGGTCAAGTTTCCCCATTCTGGATTCAACCTCTTCTAAAAGAGCATATTGTTCTCCTCTTGGGTTCTGATCACATCATATTTGCGACACTCGTTGATCAGCATGTTGAATCTATGATAATTTTGTTCTAAAGACTCATCAGGAAGCGCTTGGAAACTATTGTACTCATTTAAGAATTGAGCCCGACGATTTTTCTTCATCTTGATCCCTCCTTCCAGCTGGTTTGCCAATTGATCCCATTGATCTTTGGCACACTCACATACGTCTAGGGATTGAATTATCTCATTCGGAAGTGACATAATCAAAAGCCTTTTGGCTTTTTGATCCACCTCCACTCTGTGCTTGTCCTCATCGTCCCAATCTCGACGAAGCTTGGGAACTCTCCTGACAGGTACTTTGACAGTATCGCCAGCAGTAGGAGTACGAGCAAAAAAATGTAGTGGGAACATAAGGGCCATTTAAAATCGATTCATAGAGCTCGAGGTCAAGACCTTCGTAAAAGTTGATCATGCGAATTTTCCATTGGGGATAATTTTCCCTAATGAGTGTTGGAGGTTTTGTCAAGGATCCAGCACTGTACATGGTGTTCCACGTTTGACTAGACATTTTTGTTTAGGATTTTGAAAAGAAAGATTGACGAGAAAGTGATAGACAACGTAAAAATTATTTCCAAAAAACGTAAAAGCAGACGTTTTAAATGGATCAAAACGAATTAAATTTCTTTTTAAAACGAATAATAAAAAATTAAGAGTAGTATCCTGCTGGATATCGATCGACTAATCAATGAGTTTGATTAGCAGGCTCTGATACCAATTTTTAGAACCCAGATACTCTTAATTCTTAGAAAAATACAGTTGATAAAGAATATGATTGAAGTACAAACAGTGTATTGAGGTTGATCAAGCGAAATATTCATAATAAATAAGAACAATAAAAGACTTGAATAAATCGGATGCTTTTATTAGATGAAAATAACAATTCTCAATCTAGAAGTATTCTCACAAGAAATATGCTATAATATAAGTCGGCACTCTCAAATAATTTGAACCTGAGGAGGAAGCCTCCTTATATACGACTAAGTCAAACAAACTATGCTATAAGTATGGCTTGTATCTCTAAGTTGCTGAGTCTGCATCCTTATCATTGATTCCCTTGTAAAGTGGAGCAGACCAAGTCAAGCCGCTTTGATTCTGTTTGACGCTTGCGAGAATATATGGACTTAACGCGCATCCCATGGAGTTAGAAGACCAGACGCTCTGCATGTACTATAGAGAAGCTCTGCATGTACTATGCAGAGATTCTGCATATGCAGAGGCTCTCTGTGTACTATGCAGAGGCTCTGTGTCTAGAGTTGTAGCTTTGCATCAAGCACTTAAGCTTTTTGGCGCATAAGGCTTGATCGTCCACGGAGAATGAGCATGGGCTCTATGTGTAGGAACCTTCACTCTTTGAGTAAGAGCTCTGGTTCTTGACCTCTCACAAGAGCTCTTAGTCCAGACTGTTTCTATAGACTAAGTCCTATTGACTAAAATAAGAGACTTCTTACTTACACTTTCACAAGATAGGGTCTAACACATAACATCCCTGGTTATGTATTCTGATTGAGGCCCACGTTCCGGATTAACATTCCCCGAAATAGAATCCCTCGAATCAGGATGAACCTCAGTCTGACTTCTTCCTTGAACCTGAGTCCTCCGCCGGCCTCTACCTGTAACAACACACATTTTTTCCCATACACAGATTAACCACATACACATACTCATAAAACAAAATATAGTATTGTTTACAAAAATACGGACAAATAAAAACTTTCTTCAATACATTTGTAAATAACTAAATTTTATCATTTCTACACTTTTCCCTTGCCTTTGTCCTGTGAGGTATGATGACTTGCAAAACCGGTTAGTCCAACAACTGAGCATTAGACCCAAAAGGTCTAGTGAGTGTACAATTCTCATACAAATAACATAACTTTCCAAACTTAGAATCAAACTTGTATGGATACAAACATTTATCTATTTTTCTCGCGGTTATTTCATCTCTCTTGCAGTTACACTGTCATTACATCTTTCTCGCGGTTACACCGCCATTTCATCTCTCTTTACATCTCTCTCGCGGTTACACCTCCATTTCATCTCTCTCGCGGTTACACCGCCATTTCATCTCTCTCGCGCTTACACCGCCATTTCATCTCTCTCGCGGTTACACCGCCATTTCAAGATAAGAACTTTAATTCAAAATAAAGTCAAATCAACATTAACCAGATTTGAAATCCGGACAACACTACCCGAATATGGAATCCGGTTAACTTAGCCGGATATGGAATCCGGTCAACTTAGCCGGATATGGAATCCGGACATCATATGAGATTGTTACCCCGAATATCACTTGAGCGATTTAGATTATACACCGAAGGATACTTAACCGGTTTAGAGAATACCTCGACGAACCTTAGCGATTTAAAGAGAATCCGGCTGTTTCTTGGGCGGTTTAAGATAAACCCGGACACCCTTGTCCAATTTAAGCTCGAATCCGGACAACACTTGACCGGTTTAGATGAAGTCCAGTCAACACTTGTCCGGTTTAAAAATGGTAAACCGTACAATATACAAAGTACTTCAAAATAAGGTAATTCCAATAACAATGAATTGTATACCAACAATTGTTACTCAAAGCAAAAACACACTCACCTTACTGTGTTGATCAGATTAAGTCTTCAGTCTTTTCTCTCAATATATGAAGAAAATTCTCTCCAAAAACCAACCCCTTACCTTTAACATACACTTGCTATTTATAGCAAGTGTATGGCCGTCTTTTTACAAAAGTCGGCTATACACACACCTCAACACCTTCACAAACATCACACATTCCTAACACCCATATATAATATATATATATATATTCCAAAATTTCATACTTCAAACTCTGAAACCCGAATATTATAACATTCCCTTCTTAAAAGAATTTCATCCCAGAATTCCATTTAAGCAAAAAAGTAGGGATACTTCATTCGCATTTCAGACTCCGATTCCCAAGTGGCGTCTAGTCCTTTGTGATAACGCTACTGAACCTTCACTAACCCAACCTCTTTATTTCGCAACTTCTTTACTTTGAAGTTAGTAATTTGTTCAGGGGTTTCTTCAAAGCACAATCTTTCATCCACCTTAATATCAGGTAACGGTACTGCCACATCCGGACTTATTGCACACTTCCTTAAATTTGACGCATGAAACGTGTCATGGATTCCGCTTAACTCTGAAGGAAGTTCTAACTTGTATGCCACTTCCCCAACCCTTCCAATAATGGGGAATGGTCCAACATATCTTGGACTTCACTTCCCTCTTTTTCCAAAACGTACCATTCCTTTCCAAGGTGATACCTTTAACATCACTCTATCACCCACTTGAAACTCAATCGGCTTCCGACGTTTATCTGCTTAACTTCTTTGTCTATCCTGTGCTGTTTTCATCCGTTCCCGTATTACTCCAATTTTATCTGCAGTTTGTTGAACTAACTCAGGCCCAACTAACTGTTTTTCACCTATTTCATTCCAACACAAAGGAGTTCGACATTTGCATCCATACAAAACTTCAAAAGGTGCTGCCTGAATACTCGAATGGTAGCTATTGTTGTATGCAAATTCTACCAGAGCCAAATGACTATCCCATGATCCTCCGAAATCAAAGACACATGCTCTTAGCATATCTTCTGATGTGTGGATAGTTTGTTCACTTTGTCCATCTGTTTGAGGGTGATAAGTTGTACTTAGCTTAATTTGTAAACCCATTTCTCTTTGGAAGCTCTTCCAAAACATAGAAGTGAACCGGCTATCTCCATTAGAAACAATTGATAGAGGAACACCATGTCATGTCACTACCTCATCAATGTATAATTTTGCCAATCTCTCCATTGGATATGATTCTTTTATATGTAAGAAGTGTGCAGATTTGGATAACCGATCTACTATCACCCATATAGCATCATAACCTTTTGATGTTTTCGGTAATTTGGTTATGAAATTCATAGTGATGTGATCCCACTTCCAGACTGGAATTTCTAATGATTGCAACTTACCATAAGGGCGTTGGTGTTCAATCTTTACCTAAAGACATGTTAGGCATTGCTCAACATGCTTAGCTATGTCCTTTTTCATACATGGCCACCAATAATATTGCTTCAAATCCCGATACATTTTATTTGTACCTGGATGAATAGCAAAACGTGACTTATGAGCCTCACCCAAAATACGTTTTATGAGATCACCATAGCATGGTACCCAAATTCTATTCTAGAATTTCCAGAATTCTCTATCATCTCTTACCAGATCAGATATTAATCCAGCCACTTTTTCCTGTTTAATCATATCTTCCTTCATGGCCTCATGTTGAAATTATCGTAACTCTTCCTGAATATTTGGTAACAACTCAACCCGTAGAGCTATAGCTTTGATAGTTCCACTTTTCTCTTGTCGACTTAATGCATCGGCCACTACGTTTGCTTTTCCTGGGTGATACAAAATTTCACAATCATAATCACTAACCAATTCCAACCATCGTCTCTGACGCATATTCAGTTCTTTCTGATGGAACAGATGTTGTAAGCTCTTATGATTAGTGAAAAATTGACATTTCGTCCCGTATAGGTAGTGCCTCCATATTTTCAAAGTGAATACTACTGCCGCCAATTCCATATCATGAGTAGGATACTGCCTTTCATGATCTTTTAATTGTCTGGAAGCATAAGCTATTACCTTTCCATGTTGCATCAGTACACAACCCAAACCCATCTTTGACGCATCACTATATACCACCAAATCTTCCATTCCATCTGACAGAGATAAAATTGGTGCACTGCATAACTTGTCCATTAACATTTGAAAGGCCTGAGCTTGCGCTTCACCCCACTCATATTTCACATTCTTCTTGGTCAGCTTCGTTAATAGAGTAGTTATACGTAAGAAATCATGTATAAACTTACGATAATACCCAGCCAATCCCAGAAAACTTCTGACTTCAGTTGCAGTCTTTAGGGCTTCCCATTTTTCAATAGCTTTAATCTTCAAAGGATCCACCTTAATGCCTTCTTTTGAGATAACATGCCCCAAAAACTGAACTTCTCGTAACCAAAATTCACACTTTGACATCTTGGCATACAATCTCTCTTGTTTCAGCAATTCTAAGAGTAATCTCAAATGATGAGCATGCTCTTCTTCCGACCGATAATATATCAGAATATCATCGATGAAAACAATCACAAATATATCAAGATAGGGACGTCACACCCTATTCATTATGTCCATAAAGGCTGCAGGCGCATTTGTGAGTCCACATAGCATAACCAAAAATTCGTAATGACCATATATGTACGAAATGTTGTTTTCGACACATCTTCATTCCGAATCTTCAGTTGATGATAACAGGACCGTAAATCAATTTTCGAAAAAAAGTAGCCCCAACCA